AATCTCACTGTGAGTTCAGAACGTATTAGACTAGGCTGTAAGCAAGTAGATTTCTTCTTCCAACTTCCCTCTACCTACACAGAAAAAAGCATATTGTACATATTATAAGATTACATAAATCTTCAAATATATTTATTTGTTTTGAAATCTAGGATGTTCATTTCGTGTATAACATTTACCTTTAAGAATCCAACAGATTCTCAAGGTATATTTATTGCAAGTGTATTATGAAATCTAAAAACTGTTAAATTAAAGTTTTTTAATCATTGGCCCGTATGAATAAAAGTAAGCAAATGCTTATACTTACTTGCAAAATTCAAAATAAATACTCGTAAGTGCCCCTTTATACTGGTTTGTTTAGCAGCGCTGCAGTGCGCCCAGTGCGAAGGAGCACTTACGAGTATTTACTAGAAATGTTTAGTCTAAGTAACGTTTTCAGTTTTGTTTGGTGTATTTTTGTTAGTGCTGAAAAGTGGTCATGCGACTAGAAGATATTTGCCATATTTGAAATCTCCGTTAAAAAGTGTCCGAATAATGTGTTAATTAGAAATGTCTACTACGATTAGTTTATCATAAAAAAATTAAAAACGAAAATCACAAATTTTCGTTTCATTATAAACCAAGAAATGTTTAGTCTAAGTAACTCCCAAATTTTCGATTGAAGATATTTCAAATTACTTTCCAGATTCTTATATTCAGAACGAAAATTGGCAACTTTGCTCCCATTTAACCAACTTTCTCTCTCTTAAGATAAGTGAGATCCCCCTAGTGGTATTCGAAAAATGGACACCGTGTATACCTACGCTCAAATATAATCATGCTGTAGTACCTAATCTCATTTGAGTGTTCTGGATAGGCATGGGAATTTTTTTCGATATATCGATAGGTATCGATAGTTATCGATATATCGAATAACAATAGGTAGAGCTAAAAAAATCGATAATATCGATAACTATCGACATATCGATAGTTATCGATAGTTATCGATAGGTATCGATATATCGATAACCATCGATATTTCGATAATTATCGGCATATCGATAAGTAAAATATATCGATAGGTAAGTACCCGATACTTATCGATAGGTGAAAACAGTTATCGCCCATCCCTAGTTCTGGATGCTTCGATTTAGACTATGTGAACTTCAAATCAAGATCAAAGGTTCTTCATACAAAATGATTGTATCATGAATGAAATAACTGCTGTAGTCAAATTGTATATTACACTACCATATGTTCAAATTGAAAATACATCAATTTGACTTAAGCTATGATTTTTGAAAATTTCATAATTTACCATTTAAATTTATATCTACGTGAGTATATATATATATATACAAAGCTAACATACGTATACTTGAAATGGCATTTATACAGGGTGTTTGGTAAACATGCGGCAAAAATTAAAGAGGTTATTCCTTGGACTATTCTAATGTTATTTTATCCTTTGATGATTTTTGAAAAAACGCTTCGTTGCGAAGATACAAGGCGAAATAGATTTTTGAAGAGTTGAACTTATCAAGTAAAAAACGTTAATCACATTCCCTGATATCTGTCATTGATGATCTTTTGTTTCGAGTTTGTCAAGATTTATTGACGTTTGGCTATTGGCGTGTAATTTCTGCCCTTATTACTTAAACGGTTGTTTGTGAAATCCTCTATCATGGCTCATTATTCGAATGCCGAGATGGCCGACATGCATTTCACGTATGGACTTGCTGATGGCAATGCATTAACCTCTTTCATTTTTGCCGCATGTTTACCAAACACCCTGTATGTAGAATTGCAATGAGTATTTCCTTTTTTGCGTGATTTCTGTGCTCGAGCATTACGAAATGAAATAACTCTCGTAAAGAAGAGCAGATAACATTTTTAACAAATTTTATGTTTCTTTCGCGTGATTTTCTCACTATTGATATTTAGATTCTAGTACTGGTATGGCAAATAACTAGAAATTAAATATTTAACGCAAAACCCACTAAATAAGTTCGCAACGAAGCATCGACGATTCAAAACTTTTTTCCGCTTTAATACGCCGCATATTGCTGTAAAATGCCCAATTTATCCAGCTACACAAGGATCAGGACATAATACAATCTGCTGTGCCATTGGCTCGCATAACAATACCGGGATTGTTAGGGGGTTAGTTGGGGTTGGGGTGCGCCGTGCGGGATGCTGATTGGACTCGCTCGTTACGCCCAAAGTACGTTTCCATGGAAATGTAATCTGTAGGTTTATTGCACCTTAATGGGGAGTTAAACTACCCTAAAGTTGTGGATCTGAAGGGAATAATTTCGCTATATCTGGAGCTTGAAAGCTTATTAATTTTGCTCAATTATGAAATTATCAAGTTACAAATTGAGCTTTGACTCCTCGCATATAAGTCGCCGTTTTTAAGGAAACTTTGCATTTAAAGGAGACGTTCCATGACGTTTTCTTTTTGGAGTAACAAAATCGTAGTGTGGGATCCATCTCTTTATTTGGGATAAATAATTAGATAAAGTACCTACTACTATACTTATTATCGCCTATCCGGAACTTTGTGTCATTATCCATTAACATAATAATCATCGTGAATTCGAAATAAAATAAACCCATATCCGAGTCCTACATTTAGCGAGTGTGATTTAAAAAAAATTCTTCAAAACTTAACCTTCCCGCACGAAAGTGTCTCATCGAGACCCGCCACATTCTCATTGCGTTTGAAATTAAGATGCTATTCGAAGTACAAAATACTTACCTAATAAACGCACCGCAACTACGATGAGTTTATTGTAAACTGATGGCGCATAATGTAATACCTACATCAATTTCTTTTAATTCTGTATCCAACCTTACAACAATAAGCAATATTTAACAAACAAAAATTCGTTAAGCCGCTTGTGAGCAGGAGGCGAAAAGTGCACATCAAATTTGTTTTCTCGATTTTAATAGCCCTTATGAACATTTCATGCCTTAACGAGAATACAAACATGAAGTAATTTTTAATTTCTGATCGAATGACACCAATACCAAGTCAGTAAGTGGTGTAGTCCCGGAGCCTTTGTGAATCAGACAGACATACAGACAGATAAACAGACAGACAGACATGAAGAGCGCAAAAGTGCACTTTTTATTTTTTGAATGTGAAAGTGCACTAAACATTCGTTAAGCGTTATTTGCAGTTTCGACACTGTAATACACTACACTCTACAGCATGCTTTTTTAGCCTGCGCTATCCTGGATGTTATATCTTCCTCGCTACGATTAACTTGTGTAACCTTACTACCTAAATAGCAAAATTCCTTTATAACTCTCGCCAGGAAAGATTGCCGGTCACAGCACACCTTGTGTCGATCTACAATCTACGAGCGACTTCCGGAATAGGATTGCGCCAATGTTAAACGAAAAGTCTTTTTGTTCAACATTGACACGATACTATCCCGGAAGTCGCTCACATCTTTAGAAAAACATAGATTGTAGACCGGGATCAAGTGTTCTGTGACCGGCAACCTTTCCTGGCGAGATGTTTACATGCTTTAAAGTGTCCTTTCCTATTCGGATCTTTATCTTTATCCTATCCTCTCTTTTCTCGCATTGCATTACTTTTGTTTTTTCCTTGTGGATTTTCATATAGTCTCTAGATAGTATTCCCTCCATACCTTTCCCCTTCTGATTGGTAGTATTATTCTCATTATAACATCCGCGTATCTCAGCATATGTATATTGTTGGGACTTGGGATCGATTCTTTATATAAATGTACGTACGTATAACTTCACAAACTTTGGCAGTAAGGTGCCTACGCTGCAAAATTTCTTTCTGATTGTCACATTTTGAACATTAATAGGTATTTACATTAAAAGCCAGGAAAATGATACATTACCGGCGAGAAAATATTGAAGTGTGAGGCCGAGTAGGTACTTTAATTTCCGAGTCAGGTAATGACATTTTACTGACGAGTTTTGTATTAAATTTTACCCGAAATCGTCTTTTAATATAAAATTTCAATTTGTATATACCTATATAGAACTTTTGATTAATGGTAGGTAATCTGTCAGTCAATGAAGGTTTCAGGACGATTTTGAGTAAATGTAGGTATTTATTGCAAAATATCAATACAAAATTTGACGACCTAAAAATGTGTGCCATTCTGCGAAATTATATACATACCTATGACCAATGACATTAAAAGCTATATCACTCTTAAATTACTAATTAAAAATGCCCCAACAACCTTTTTACGGAGGAATTTGTACTTACCTATATGAAATTTTGTTTTGAAAGAAGCGGAATCTTGACTTTTAGTTTTGGAGTATAACAACGCTGCAATAAATTAAATCTTCCCATTTTTACTATAGTTTTCCTGCAAAATAAAAAAAACAATAATAATACAACATTGGTCTTATTCGTTTCTTACGAAAAGTACCTATTACATAAATTCTGCAACTTTACCCCTTATGATACCTGCCATATGGCGTGGTGAAACGTGAAAAAAGGGCATCATCCTGAATAGCTTGTATACTTTGATACACCTATTCGATGAAGAGCGAGAGTGCGTGATAAGCAGCTTTATATTGACGAATCCATACACAACTTGCTTGTTTGCTTCCAATTACACTCTAGGTACAAGACAACCGCATCATAGCAGGCATTAAATACTATTACTTTATGATCATATAGGTATACGTATACGTTATAACTTTGATTACTAAAATGCTATTTTTGTTCCATGTTTGAGTTTAGTCGTAAATAAATAACCACTTTAACCGAACAAAGAAAAAATTTTCCTTTTCATTTACTCTGCGAAGAACCCTAAATCCAACAATTGCTATAGCATCCGTAATTAACTTACAAAATACAATTAGGCCCAATCAATCTCGTCATACTATATTATCTCCCCATTTATCCACCTTCGCGCTCAATCCTTATTTCCACGTGTTAAGGGTTGAAGTGCTTGCGAAGGCGGAACAAGCTGATAGTGGATCACGACTCCCGTATACGCCAGATTGTAATTGTTTGTCACGTCGTGTGTTGGTATCGGCGTTTTCGTCAAAAGAAGTGATGTGACGCACATTGGCTATACAAGTCGATTTTTATACCTTGCGAAAATGGAAACGGACCTTTCACCGCTGCGTAAGGACTTAGATCCGAATTTGACGGCAAATTATTCGAATCGCACTTCCTTTTTGATTGAGGATATTTTGTATCGTCAAAAGTTGAATCAGAACGACATTGGATTAAGTCCCAAACTCGTCGACCATCAGGAGATCCATCCGTCGTCCTACAAACAGAGCCCAGTAGTTAAGTGCGAGGATGAAAAAAGTTATGTGCACAAGCGGTGTGAAAAATCCGGGTATACGTACTTCCAGCCACATCTACATCCGAATATAAATGGATGCGTGCAGAATTTGCAACCGACGGAAAATGGCTACATTCAGGTGATGGGAGCACTTGGAGCCTATCTAGGTACTCCGTATAAAAGTATTTCCGATCACCCCTACTTTCTTGCACAAGGTAAGTCTTTCTTTTACACTCCTGTGTATTATGTGAACGCGATATTATAAAAAGTGTGCTAAATCTGAAAACTCTATGTTGCGAAGAGCTCAGAACAGACATAAACCGCTAAAGCGGATCTAAAAAAGCGACAGAGCACCTCGGTGTGACCCTACGGGGTCATTGAATTTGACCCACTTCCAATACGTTTGTTACATGTCAACTGTGCAGAGTTTGCACCGAATCGGCCCGAGTGTTTGGCAGTTATCGTGTTCGCGGACGGACAGACGGACACCATAGATTCCCCTATGAAGCTTGCATCGCTTTGCTAGGCCTATTTTCTATAGATTTGCGTTAAATTTTGTATGTATAGACGGACGGTAAACCGAACAAAAAACAATGTGAACTCGATCTTCAGCACCAGTTTTGGAAAAGTGAAATCAAAATTGCACCCCTATAAAGTTATCCAAAAGGTGTAAGTACTTTAATTTTTACCCGTGCATTGCATTTAGTTACATCATGTAATAGCCGTTGTCAAGGGGTAAATTAAATATATGTATGTAGGTGAATACAGTTATCCAAGTGTTAGTAGGTACGTATTCTAAAAATGTATTTTGTTCCACTTCTTTGCGTAAGCGCACACCATCCGCAATAATGGTCTGGCTGCGGTCTTGAGTTAACAGTGGTCGTAGTGTAATAGGTCGCGATAGAAACTGCAGGAATCGCATTACTGACAGTATGTCTCTTCATATTCGCGTAAGATTGTAGGAAAATTCGACCAGATTGTAGGTTCTGCAGTAAAGTGTAGTTAGTGCCTTTGTGAATAAACAAAGGTAGTGCTAAAAGTTTTGTCCACAATTTCAACATTTCTGTTATTAGTAGCAATAGCCATGACTTTTGTTGTTTTATGAATTGCTACTAATAACAGAAATGGTGAAACTTATTTTTAAATTTGCGGATATACCAAAAGCTTAATAACACATGTAAAAACATAGTTTTGTAGGCACCTTTTAACTCTGAACAACTTTAAACTCTACAGTTTTTTCTGTAAAATGTACAGGAGGGCAGGATATTGCATAAAACTGATTTCCCATGTTAAATCCCTATATGTTCCTACTTACCGTGCACCACCCGGTATGTACATTTTGGTTCTTGCACCATATTTTATACTTTTACCTTCTTTCATACATTATATTTTTCCTTTGGGAGGCAGTAGTTTCCCTCATAGTTTGTTCTGAAGCATTTTAAACGATCATTTCTGCGCCGTAGTGAACGAGAATATTTTAAATTGACATTTATTATTTTCTATGTAAAAGATTCACTTAACGATATAAAGGATTACACCCCTAAATTAAACACTATACAACAATTGACAATGGGCGTTTATTGAAAAGTAACAATGGCTCGATACATTGGGCCGCATGAATAAAAGTAAGTAAATGCTTATACTTGCAAAATTCAAAGTAAATACTCGTAACTGCCCCTTCATACTGGTCTGTTTAGCATGGTTTAGCAGCGCTGCACTGCGCCCTGTCCTGCTGCTCAGAAGAGCTGCTAAGTCACCCAGTGTGAAGGAGTACTTACGAGTATTTGCTTTGAATTTTGCGAGTATAAGCATTTGCTTCCTTTTATTCATATGGGCCATTGCTCTATTTCTCGAACGTCTTTCTTGGATGTCGCGTATGAAGTCCTCATATGTATGTAGGCCGTGCTCCTTCGCGCACCCCCTGGCATAATAAAGCTACCTTAGCGAGCCGTAATAAAACGTGATGTTTTTATGTTTCACGCAGTTCCGCTTACATAGCGTTACGGGCACAATTTGACATGGTAAGGTATAATGATTAATGAATCTACAGTTAAGGGGAAACAGCAGTTTTTCCAACTAAACCTAGGGACCTGGGAGGCGATTTTTTTAAATATTTTTTTTAAGAGCTATTATCAACGTTTTCATTTGGTGTATAACTTATTTTCTCGAAAAACAACCTTTCAGAATTGGTACCGCAAGAAGTACCCGCAGCGCCTTAAGTCATATGGCCTGAGGCGGCAGACGATCGATTTTAGCATACTCTGATAGGGCAAAATGGAACTCCATCGGTTAAAATTTTGATCATTCTCGTTCAGTGGATTTCGTGCTAGCTCCCCTACTAGAACTGCTAATCTGCATAGAAAAAATATGCTGTACTCGTCCGCCCAAGTTTTCTTTTACAATGAGTCGAGCGAAAACGCACAGCAATTGCAACATTAAAATACTAATCAGTTTTATATTCCAGGACTACCCTTCCACCCCGCACTATTTGGTAGCAGTCCAAGCGAAATATCATTAAACGCGTTAAAACACTGCAGGCGAAGAAAGGCCCGAACAGTTTTTAGCGACCCACAACTGACAGGTAGGCATGTAAACATAATCCGAAAACTGCTGACGGCAGTCTTTCAGGATTGGAAAAAAGATTTGCAGCGCAACGATACCTGTCAACACCGGAACGCGTAGAACTAGCTGGCGCCCTCAGCTTAAGCGAAACCCAAGTGAAAACCTGGTTTCAAAACCGTCGCATGAAACACAAAAAACAAATGCGGAAACTACAAGAAGACAAATCGGGGTCTTCATCGACCAACATAGATAAACAACTGCCATCGGAAACGAAAAGCGCTGGTAAACACTACTTTTACACATTATTATACCTATACCTTCCTGCATAGACTGTACAACTTCTTAAACATCAATTAAGGCAAATTCTGAACTTAATGAACTAAATTATAACATAAGATGGTGGGTGAGAAGGTGAGATCGGCCACTTAGAAACATGAATAAGTGAGTTACCTCTTGCAACCCTACAATAACCGCAAATACGCTACATAAGAAATTAACTCGATATGCATACGACGCTGCTTTTCGAAGTTCACAACTTCAGTTGTAGTTGTAGTAGTACATAACATACATAATACAAGTCGGTGCGGGTAAAATTTAATTACTACAGACGTAGAGATTCCTTCACGGTTTGTTGCTTCAAAATATAATCAAGATGTATATTGTATATAGGTTATAACTAATTCAATATGGTCAGCGTCTTAAAAATAATAGTTTATCCTCCACCGCACAAAGAAATAGGGCTTTTTTTCCATTAAGGGTGTCCGAACTTGAAAAATGAAAATAACAAATTGTGTGTAAATTATGGCAAAAACATTTATTGCGGATTAAAGTACCTTCAATATTTACTACCTAGGTATTATGTTTTAGAAATAACATTTGAAAGATGCTTTCAGAACATAATGGTAGGTACTGAATGCACTTTAATCCGCAACAGGTAAATGTATTTGCCATAACTTACACACAATTAGTTATCTTCATTTTTAAAGATCGGACACAACACACTATACTTTATCAACTATTTATATAGAATGCCCAAAGATGAGATTCATCGTTGGGCAGAATTACCTTGGTGTATAAATGTTATATGTACTCGGGCTTCGCCCTCATTAATGAAACTGCAAATTCGTGAAAAAAAGTATCACTAGTTGTACAAATAACTATTGTTCGATGATCAAAAGTAGGTATAGATATATCACACACACACACACACACTATTATATTTCGCCATTAGAATATATAATACATACTTCTCGACTGTAAAAATAGTGCATGTAATTTGGATAAAATGTGCAATTGCCTTAATTTGTTCGTCAAAGAATACGTTTCTTATCCTGGCGCTTTTGTATAGGTAATGGCCAATAGGTACCTATACACTACAGCTTTTTAAAAGCCGTGAAATTTTGATAAGCACGCTTATTGTTGGTCGGAGGGTTGATGATTCATGGTCATTTGAACGAAGCCGCTAACAAACTAAAAGTTCATCATTAAATTTCGATTCCTATTTGCGATGAGTTTCCCGGTTTATTAAAATAAATTGACGTATGCAAGCCAGAAACTTCATTAGAGTTCGCTAAAGGCAAAAATTTAATTACAATCTAACAAAAATGCACTAAATGAAGGATTGTTATAAATGACAGCGTTTGAGGACAGCTTGGTATTAACGTAATTACGTCATATAAAGTGGACGCGTCTGTGCAAGAGAGCTTCCTATGTTGGGCATCCTGAAAACGTTTTCTGATCAATTACTGCGATTGTGAATTAATTTGTCAGTGAATGTCAGTAGAAATCGGCAATTGTCAATGTAATGCTATTTTAATGACATCCCTCCTGACTAGTCGGATACCGGAACCGAGACTAACGTCAGTCAACGTCAACGTTGGGATCGTTTCCTTTTCAAATCGGATTTGCTTTTGTCTATTAATGAAATTAATCTCCAAACTTAAACCTTTTCTTACTAATTACAAATAAGATTCACTAATATCGTATGTAGGTATTATATTTGTGTTGCCTCTGTTTAATTAATGAGTGATTGATTATATTATTACATTAAATGTTCTATCCCAACCAATTTAAGTTGCTTAAAGTGTTAAGCGATTAACCCCCATTGATTTTCTAGAACGGCGAAACAGGGACGGAGGCGAAAGATGGGAGGGGTGGCGGGTGTCGAATTGCACTGCACTATTGCTTCAGGTGCTCAAAATTGGAAGGAACACAAAAAAAACGAACTTTAGTAGCATTGTTATGTTATACTTTCCATATTAGGGGTGTCTAAGGCTTATCCTATTTACAGGCTGCAAACACCCCGCAGAAATACAAAGCTCCTAAAGAACCACCACGATATATTTTTAAAGTGGTACAGACTACCTATAGGAACAGGGTGTGTACCGTAAATTTAATTACGTGATTTATTTATATAAAGTTATTGATGTTCACTTGTACTAACACTATGAACGAGAAACTAAATTTAAGCGGTTCTTAAATATATTCATTTTTAACAGTTAAACATTCTTTATCACATATATTTGTATACACATTTGTAACACGAGGACCGGCACGAATTTCACTAATTATTACTTCCGACATCGATGTTGAGAATAACATTAAACCCAATTCTGGAGAAGTCTTAAATCAGCATAACATCTTTCATGGAACGAATTTCGGTTTTCATTCCTTATCGTCGGTTATCAACTTGATGGCGACTTGATATAGGTTTCGATACAAGTGCATCGTTCTACACTTTATTTATTTTCTCGCAAAGCATACGACTGGGCCTATCCAGTGTCCCCAGTAGAAAAAAAGTCACACCTATCGAGTCGAAGTGAAGTGGAGTTGAAAAAATATTTTAATATCAACATTAACTACCAATCACTACGTCCACCGTCTTAGTTTGGTCACAACGTCGAAAGCGCACTTGTAATCTTGGTCATATATAGCATCCACTTTGTTCACAACCTTCAGTACCCGCTGGTTACGTTGTTCACTGCTGACTTTGGGTCCCGACGCTCATGTTTTATCATACGAATTGGTGTGTAATACAACACGGCGTTGAATACGAAGTTATATTTTTTTAATTTTTCGGCAAATGTGAAAAAATTGACCTATTTGAGAGGACGTTATGACCAAAAGATGAAGAAGTGGCAGACGTTACTGTAATGGACGTTGTCACCAAGTGGCTGTTACTATCGTGGACGTTACGTTGTGACCAAAACAAGGTGGTGGGCGTTGTCTTCTAAACCTTCACCTTCTTCAATTATTTTTTTTTTGTAATTACAGATACTCCCGTGGATTTTTCGGGACGAATTCCTATAGAACCCAAATCAAACAGCGAGTCAAGATCTTTACACCAATCTCAGGATTCGGATTTGAGCGATTGCGATAGCGATATTGACATAGTTGGAGATACGAAATCAATTGTATATTCGTATAATGGTGCTTAATGAAAACCGACGAAATCTGTTATCTTCTTAGAATATGGACGAAACGTAATGTGTACACTGCAGAAAAGTTAAAAAAAGACCTTCATAACCTTACCAGATGATCGCTTGACACAACAATTTTTAATGCTTCTCGAGCCCCACAAAAATTTTATACAGATTGTCCCAACTAAAGTTTTCGTCTTCCTGGGTAGCGTCGTTGATCATCAGATGAGCTGCAGTGTTCTTTTTTTATAGTAATTTGAATTTGCTTATTTCAATTTTTTGTGCCCGCCACTGCTGCCAATGCCAAAATTTCTTTAACATACCTCAAAATACTGACGAACGAAATTGTAACTGTGCCTGGAGGCAGTGATAATGCACTTCTTTTTTGTATGTGTATTTTTGAATGCACATACAAAAACGTCGGTCTGTAGCATAGGTACCATAACGAATAACTGAAATCACCTTCAAATAATTTGTCACACGTATAGGTACCATTATATAGACAGAGTATACATTTTAATGTGGTGGCTACCCCTGTAAGCAGATGAAATTTAACACTTGAAGATAAGGTCAAATGTGGTTTCCTGGTCAATACAATTTCGACTTGCTCGAGCATTTTGTTGTAAATATTCGGAAACTGCGGTTTAATAGAAGATACAAATCTCTATTGGAAGATCTTGTACATAAGGCAACATTTGTACCTACCTAGATAAGGTTTTCAAGTAGGTCCATTTCAGTTTACAAAAAAAATTGTTGTGCGTCAAAGGGATATTATATACTATAGTCACATTTGTTTATATGTAAATTTGATTCTAAAAATTAAGGAGTAATTGTAAGAAATGTTTTAAGTAATATTTGTTATGTTCGTGTCATTCGGCATATAAATAAAGGTTAGAAATACCTATCTAAGTTTGCTTTCCGAAGAAATTCTTTACAAACAGCAACTACTGGTTCTATCGTCTAGTCATCTAGTGACCATATTAGTAAGTGGTGCAGCTTTAAAATATACAATCAGTCATTTGTGAACAAACGTACCTACTCCGTGTACAAGTTTGGTCCTTAACCATTTTTTTAAACAGGAACCACCCAAAGACTGTGGTCTTTGGTGCTCGTTGCAGATTGTTTTAGTCATTTATACGTACAGTCGTGGTCAGAAGTAATGTCCTCCCTTAGAAACTGCAACTGTAGAAAAAGTACCAATGTGTCAGCTTCTCCGTGATTTAGTTCAATTTCATTTCAATCTTAGACATTGTTGAAAAGAAGCTCAAATCTCACAGGAGATCCGGTATATTAATTATGTGCTACACTTGAGATAATCGAGGGACATTACTTCTGACCAAAACCGTACTTTTTTTACTTCTTAGTTCTTGGGAAACTTTCTCAAACACAGCTTTTAATGAAACCTTCCGCAAAACAAAATATACAGCGCAAAAAATTCACACCGCCAATTTTGGAAGATTGTCTTATGTAAAGTAAGAGATCGTCGTTGGTACAAAGTACTGAGTGGAATATTTTGTTCCGTTATCAATGATCAGCCGACCCGTGCCTCTTCCCCTTACTTCTAATGAGAGCAGTTTGTATATAAGGGAGTCATGCCACATAATTGAAAATAAGTGATAAATATGCCGCCCGTCGTACAGGTTGTAACTGGAAGTAATGCGGAAGTGTACAGCGTGCACGTTGTTGACATTCGTAGTGATACGGTTTCAAAGCCGACACCTGCGATGAGACAGGCGATGGCCATCGCCGAGGTGGGCGATGATGTTATGGGTGAAGATCCGACCGTAAGAGAATTAGAAAGGAGGGCGGCAGCAATGTTGGGCAAGGAATCTGCAATATTTGTACCGAGTGGCACCATGGCTAATTTAATTGCGAGTAAGTGAGATAGGTATAATACGACGACGAAGGTAGGTACTAACAAAACTCTTTGATACCTTTTGGTAGTCATGGTCCACTGCAATCAGAGAGGTAGCGAATTTATCGCCGGTCACGAAAGTCATATTTTTCTCTACGAACAAGGTAAATCCATCAGAATTCTCCAAATGTTAACTCTTCACTCCTGTAGGCGGTTCTGCCTCCTTGGCAGGTGCGCAGTGTTCCCTAGTCACAAATAATTCCGACGGAACTTTCGACTTAGATGAAGTTCGAAAAAGGATAAGAGTCAACACAGATTTTCATGAGACCTTCACATCCCTTATTCTTGTCGAGAACACCCACAACATGTGTGGGGGACAGGTAAGAACTATTACAAAAACCCAAATGCCATGTTAAACGGTTATCGACTTGTCTGTTGAAGTATTAATTATTTAATTATAGATTTTCGTATCTGTTAACAAATTCGAAACTGGAAATATTCGGTTTTAATGTCAAACTCTTGCTATCATTTGGTTCGCCTTATCAAGTGAAGTCCATTCTAATTAACAAATTGCACAATGTTTAATGGCAGTAATCCTATTGCAAAATACCGCAATAACTTATGTCGATTACACTATAAGGAGCAAATACTTAGGTAGGTCTGACGCAGATCGATCAACTATTTTTGCGTGTGGAATTATAGTGTTTCAATTTGTTCTCTAAGTACGAGTATATTATTTATTTGCAAATTAGGGGTAGGTACCATTTACGCAGTAGGTATCTCCACTTCTAAAAAAGATCGCGTTTTCTAAAAACAAACTATCCGCCGTAACATATATTCATTTATTAAAGAAGCGTCAAATGTAGGTACTATACACCATCGTCTACATAGCTGTAGGTATGGATAAATGAGACTCAACCGACAGTGTTAGGAAGAGGATAGAGGCAGTAATAAATAATCTACTTAACACGAAGCTGGCATATTTAGAGTGAAATTGGAACGTTTAGTAGGTAATATCACCAAAATATACCTACAGTGCAGTGATTTACGAAAAATGTGTCTTGTTTGGTGGTCCAGTCGCTTGGGAATCAGAGGATGTAAAGAGATTGATGACGCTGATCGAAACAGATGTAATATGCGTGTTTCCTGCAAGTATTGATAACATGAACATTATAAACCCTACGACTATAGTAGTGGTACAAATTGGTAAAGAACTGGCTCCTCCTTGAGAACAATAATGGAAAATCAAACGTAGCGTTTGCTCCTAAAACTATGTGAAAGTATTCATTCGATTTAGGACACGGCAGGCGGAATACTGTTGCTTTTATTAGAATTAGATTAGAATTACAAGTCCTACAACATGCTATTTATTGTGGAATAAATAAGTATACCTACCTATACCCAAAGATCAGTGTAGTATGATCTTTGCTATACCTAATATCCTCAGTGGTACACCAATATACAGGGTCATTCTTGACGAGCGTCAGTTAGAAAGATATGGAAAACCTTTGAAAATTAAGCTAAACTGATAAGTCCTTTAAGGGTTTTGGCACATGATGAATTGACCTAAAATATTTTCAAAATGGCACAACTTCCGGAAATACCGGAAGTAGCCATCAACTTTGTTATTTTAAATAGGGACCCCCTATTTTTTCTACATTTTCGGATTCTACGTCGAATTTGGAGTACAACGATACCCATAGTTGACCCTTTGCTCCAAGGGCTTCGCCGATATTCAAGTTTTTGTGTCAAAAATTGAATTTGCAGGGGTAATTTTAAAAATTTATTATTCGAAAACGGTGAGAGATATTGCAAAACAGTTTTCAATGCTTTATTAAGGAAAGATCGAATTTTCTTATCATCACCACAAAAGGCAATATACTAGTCAGATAACTGTTATGAACTAAATTAATATGCTCGATACTCGATATACAGTGCTATTTATTAAAAAGTAGACATAGGGATTTACGTGTATCATTTTTCTATATGTCTACTTTTAAATGACAAAATTTCTCCTGATGGGTGCGTAATTTAATAACTTCTTAAACTCAAGTCTATCTATATATCATTGTCTTGCAAGTGTCTTCATCTACAATTTATTAATTATAATTATGAAAAAAAATGTAAATTATTATACTTGTATTCCAATCTCAGTAATATATTAATTATAAGAATGCTTGTATGGCCATTTTACTATTAAATTATTATTATTATTATTAAATTATTAAGTTATCTCACATTTTAAATGCCATCTATATAGGTATTACGACAACGCATAGACATTTCAAAAACAATTATTTAAAAATATCAAATATGCTACCTTTTTTAAATCAAAACATTTTCTTTCTGGATACATCATGATACAGTGAGAGTATTTGGAGTTAATCTCTGATATAGGTATACGAGTAGGTAGGTATATGTTTATCTTATTATCAGAGGGCTGTATTTTGAAGTTTCCTAATATACTTTTAATTGATGCCTTGTTTTTGTACCTACTAAAATGCATTATGAGTGATAAGAGTATCAAAATATGTTTTTCGTTATTTTTGCTGGCCTTGGAAAGAGCAACCTACGACATGCTAAGCTAAACCTAAAGTATCTTAAGATGCAGTAGTACCAATGCCTAAGTTATTATACATTGCCTTATATTCCACAATTTAGGAAAGATTTCGGAAATTATTCTCAGTGTACCATAAATTCCTGATAAAAATATAACAATTGCACCAAAAATTATTTTGTAGAACTATGCGATCAGGGGTAATTTGGCTTTAGGAAGTAAAAGTGCGCTATATTGTTACACATTGGTGGTCGTGAGTTTGACCTTCTTCATTTCTATCATTGCTGGCAACTTGGAAACGCATTGATTGACAATGTAGTAAATACCTTCAATACAAACTATACGTACTTATTTCAGGTTATTCCACTATCTTGGCTAGACCAACTTCACTCAATCACATCGCTACACAACATCCCCATCCACATGGACGGTGCTCGCCTAATGAATGCAGTGATGCAAAGTAAAGTGCCTGCCAGTCGTATAGTACGCGACATGACATCAGTGTCCTTCTGCTTGAGCAAGAGTTTGGGTTGTCCAATGGGATCAATGCTATGCGGTTCAGATAAATTCATCTCTCAGTAAGTATAGGCATTCCGCCCATTTTTCAATTCGTTTTATAACGGGATATTCCTCTCTTCAAAGCGCGAGACGCATACGGAAATTACTCGGTGGTGGACTGCGGCAAAGCGGTATAGTGGCCGCCGCAGGTTTGGTCGCATTTGATGAGATGATCGATAGACTACAGATCGACCACGACAACACCTACAAAATCGCAAAAGGAATACATTGCCTTCAATCCGAACTGATTAGAGTAGATCTGGATAAGGTACAGACTAACATCTTAATGGTTCACGTTGCGGATGAAAGAATGTCAGCCGATGACTTTTCCAAACGACTGGCGACTGTTAAAGAGACTGACACTGTCAAAGTGATTGTTAAAGTAAGCGTTCGGCATGCGAAATGTGTTCGAATAGTTTTGCATTGGGAAATTGATGAAAACGACGTTGAAAAAGCAATTGAAAAAATATACATGGTTGTTAAGGAGTTTGAAAGTAACTACATTAGCAGAAAAATGCAGCGTTTGTGCATCGCCAGCACCAAATAGGACCCTTGGAGAAAAACGTTGGCTCGGTACATCGCACAATTTTCTCGTCGATTTAAAAAGTCCTTTACGCAAATTAAGTACTAAACCACAAAAGCGCTTACTATACATTGTAACATATCTTTTTCATTAAAAACAAAAATATTTTCGCAGTAGTAAATGATTACACCATTATTCAATCACCCTTAAATCAAGTTGTATATGGAGTAAATGACTCTCCGGTTAATTGCGTTAATCTTTTACCAGATACTGTTGGTGTTTAGAGCATCGACAATGCATTAATACCATCGTCTGCAAAATCACAGTCCCCAGAAAATAATGATTGAGTGCCGTCAGTGAAAAGGCCGCCAATCTCTTTTTCAGTGCTCGCGTACTTAGTTTCCGGCTGGGGTTGATAATATCGGAGCACGTTTTAACTTTGCTGTCTGATGTGTCTCAGATCGTTCCGGAAAAAAATTTTTCTTATAGAATGTGGCCTGTAGAATCCATAATTTCAAACAGTTCCAAGATTGGGCTACTAGTTCAAAAGTTACAGCCCTTTGAATTTTTTTTCGAAATTGGTCTATAACTTTTGATTGAGAAGTCTGATCGAAAAAGTACGAATTGTTTTGGATTCTACGCACCAAAATTAATAAGGAAAAGTGTTTTCCCGAGAAATTTTGGTGCAGTCGATTTTTGCAAAAAAGGAAGGTTATACACTGCCTTTCCTCATACAGGACTAGATGATTTGGGAAACTTTCCAACTGAAGAACTGGACTATTTTGAAGACAACTATACTAGAAGACGAAATCTAAGGGGACGTCGCCCACCTATATTTCCATTCAGAATGTGGAATGTATACAACCTAACGTTTCAAGGAGATGAATGCACAAATAACCAGGCATGTCATAGATAGATGATCACATACTGAACTGGGGTTGACTAAGGATTACCTGCAATTTGGGATTTTATTAGGTGCAGCATAGCAGGGATTTATATTACGAACAAAAACTTGTGGGCGGGCGAAATCGACCGCTAAAATTAAGGAAATACAGAGACACAGACGAACAGATTATTCATATCGATCGAGAATACCAGGAAAGCACTAAGTGAGTAGTCCCTAATTTTGAAACGGACGATTAAATCTAAGACAATAATGTATGTAAGTTTATAAAGTAATCTTGACTCTTTTAGAATAAAAATAAACCAAAACAATTTATTTGCATGTATTAAAATTTCTTGATTGACCGTCACCCCCGCAAAATGGCCGCGGCCATACCATTCCCACTTGAATTACTACAATTTAAAATCAAGAAAACCAATGACCTAAGTCAAAATCTACTAGCATGTTCACAAACATAAAAATGTTGGTTAAGCTGGTATTTGAAGTTGCTATAATGAAGACAACAAAAACTAACCCCTGAAGAATCGAGGAAGTCCACAAAAAACCTAAGAACGTTCGTCCAGTCATTTATTCACATCACAGATTTGAATTGACAGAAATACTAAGATTTATACAACCTTTTATTATTAAGACTTTTTTAAATGTGGTGCCAAAGCGATCTACTACATACAAAAGATGTTAAACATAATTTCAAATCTTGTGTAGGTCCCGCTTCCAAAATGGTCAAACACAACAAATGAAACAATTTTTACCCGTAATTTAAATCGACCCAACAAGTTTTAATCAGCGGAATATATTTCATCGCCTATAATTCAAAATTGATATACGTACGTTTGACACTACTTAAGTTATAATAATGAATTGTGCTAGTAAACTGCAATAACAAATCTTTGTTTAGAATTACCTAGTAGGAATGTTAAAACTCTTCAAGAACTATTTACAATATTTATAAAAATATACAGTTTTACTTCAACGAAAATGCTGATTTAAACAATAAGAAAATGGAAACAATTTTTAACATGTGTACCTGGTTCAAATACTGAACTAAAACTAAACTATTTACAAATTGTGCAAAACTAGGTATATATTTACAAAAAATTCTGTTATATACAAAATTTAAGTTATGATACACATACAAAGTTGCTTTCGATCCCCCACCTATTTCAAGGTGTCACATTTTTAAAATTTCTCAAAAGCAACTTTTACAAAGATTATTATAATAATCAGATCATGAATTATGAATTCATTTTCAGTCAGCTCATTTACCAATAATGGAATGTTCTGCCATAAATATTTACAATGTATTTTATACTGACATATTGTTGACCAAGAGTCGTAGAAATGTGTTAACTCAAATTGCCACGGGATACAACAAAAGTGGTTTACTATACATTTCCCTGCAAAAACTTTTCCTTAATAAGGAGATGTTACGGTAAACTGGATGATCTAACCACAATTGTTTCACATTGCTTGAGTCGTTCAAACATCAGCTATACTTACTCTAAAAGATAACAATCGTTTTTAGCGTGAAACATGTATCCATTCACACCTATTAGGAATGCTAAAACTATACTTGCACAATTAAATTAAACATGGCAGTAGTACTAGAAAGAAATTAGGACTTACTGAACTACTAAAACGCTCTCAGTCAACAATACACGTTTCCTTGAAAAACATCACAATTTTACATACCTCTCCCACCACATGAATTACCAAGGAATAAAGTGACCAGTTCATGTCTCTATTTAGAGCTCTCGGAAATTAGCTCTAAGTTCATTTTTGATCATTTAAATCAATCAACATCAAAGTACATACTTCTTGTTGAATAGGTATGCTTTGCTACTTCTTCGACCTATTTATTGATTTTAGTAATATAAAAAAGAAACATACAACACAGCAGAGTCCGAGGCAAACATATAGCTAGCCATATTAATGTAGCTGTAAGGATTACTTGCACTAAAAATATTCCTAGATATAATTATAACTCCCCTAAACAAATGTTAGGAAATCTGTATGTATTACTGAATGTGTAGGTATTTAAAAACTAAAACTATTTTTGTCTCCAAAAACCTAATGATTGAAAAGTTCACCTCAAGAAAATCTACCTATCCTTGACAAGAAAACCTTACTGCGTCTCCCAACATGGCATGTGAGAGAACCATTTTGCAAAATTGTGTCAAAATTTTTGATAGAGAAGTTTTAGAAATGGTGATTTACCGTCTTCAAGGTAAAAAGTGATAATTCAATTTCAAGCAGCACTACCAATAATTTTCAACAGTAAATTCAAAATAATTTACTTTTTCGCATATCCTCAGTACTGTCAGTAAATAGCCTTATGAACAGTAGTATTTGTAAAATATTAATTTTGGCGTGAGCAGGCAGATTCAAATTTACTCTGGGTTTGAGAATTAAGAAAATAATTAAAAAATTAGTTAGAATATTAATTTTACATATAAATTAAACAAAATACAACTAAATGATGCATCTTTGCTCTACCAATATAAAATATGGGAGGGGGGGGGCACTGCCTGCGCCCCTGCATGCAGCGTGACAAAATTCAAAACCAGTTGAAAATACGTCAAAAAAGTTGTAAACCTGTATAATTGATCACTGTGATTCCAAATTTTTCCGTAAGTTCTAATCATTCTATTAGAAACCAAAAAACCTCAATAGACTCTGCACTATCATAGAAAATGCAAAAACTACAAGACGTCTTGTACATTTCAAACCATATCAAAGGATACCTACTCAACAATGACCCGAGTACTGCATTTAAAATTTCTTTGGCGTGGTCGTTGGTCAGAAGACATAAAAAATAATAATGTTGAATTTTAATCATCTCTCATATATCTGGTGATCATTAATCATAATGCATTTCATCAGTTCCCACCTGTGCATGGTTCCTGATAACATGCATTTGCATAACTTCTTGGTTCTATGCAAATATAAAGTAAAATGCAAAATTCAGGCCTACGTCTGCAACATCCATAAGGATTCTGATCAGTCACAAAAAACACAAAGTGCGAACTAAAACGTCCGCATTTACAATTGGTTAAGGAGATACTATGAAACGGTCATACACGAAATAAGCTGTTGACATAATTGATTATAGACTAAATAGTCTCCCGATATCCGTCGCATTTTAAGTCCCTTTGAATCTTTTCTTTTGTCAATAATTTTTAACTCGATCTGTATTCCGCCTTCATACTCGAGGGAAAGTTTATTAGCAATTTCCTCCGATGTTTTTAGTACACACAATTTGGGAGGAATTTGATCGTTAATTGTTCGCTTTACTATTTCTAAAATGTCGTTGGTCTCCAATTTAGAACACACTTCCGACAGTTCCAATTCGTAGGAGCCAGAATTCTTTTGGAATGCATCTTTAAGATCTAATTCGGAGATCTTCCCATCTTCCGCATAGTACCCAACAAAATCCTGTAGACTGTTACACGCAGCGCCATCCAGCAGTTTTAGATTAATATTGTTATCCCTTTTTTGCACGATAAACCTAGTTTCACCTTCGTTATGAGCCAAAGCCAAGTTAAGATTTTTAAAAATTTGAAAGTTTTGAGTACCTGAATTGGCTAGTTCCTGATTAATTTGCATTTTCTCAAAATTTGGATCAATTGGTCGATTACGCATATCTAGGTGGCAATGGCTGCTTTGGGTATTGTTGGAACTGGAGCTGGGACTTTGGTTACCAATGCTGAGACTGTCATTTGAAAGTGAATCATCAGAGTAGCAAGAACTTCTATCAGAATTTCTTCTTAAAAAAAACTCCTCGTTTGTACCTTCCGCATCAGTTGCCTTACTAAAAAATTTTGTATCGTCATTCTCCGCACTGCTCTTTCGTCCAATTCCACGCGTTATTGACGGACGATTTTCTAACGGTTCCGATATTATAAACGACGGTATTTTTTGTACCTTCTGATTATCTAAACTATCAAGTGAATCTTCAGAGGTATCCGAACCTGCTACAAGCGTTACCTCACTACCTAAAATAGAATTCAAATTATAGTTTACTAAGTGGTGGCAGACTGAAAGTATAAGAACATTTCAATACAATGTCTGTATAAACACTATTGAGAGAAAATGCGCCTCAATAGAAACATTTGAAATTCCATTGAGATCTGAGATGGAGAGCTTAGCGACACTCAGTGAGTTCAAAGTGCACCTCACTTGTTTACTACCTTTCAGTTAGAACGTTGAAGACAAGAACACAGTCACAGGCTGGAAAGAGAAAGCGGTTGCGCACACAACATGAATCGTTCATATATAACATCTGTCATACTTCCTTTTTGGTTAAGTAAATTAATAGACAAGGGCAAAATGATGCAGGAAACTACTGCGACTATGATCCTACATTTTTACTTTTGTTTTTTTTTATACGTCTGGTGATGTGCAAACTGCTTTCTGTCACCCGACTGGTTTTCCTCTGAATGTGGCAAAAAAGTAAGGCCTGTTGAGCATTTGGCTTCCGAGGTCGCTAGCTGGTTTGTAGATCTCTGACAACTTGTAAAGATGTGTCAATTTTGAAGCGCAAATTACAATTTCAAGACATCCTAATTCGATAATCATTTTTAATGATACTGTAACTATGTTTCGCCTACTCATTTTGTAATGAAAATGATTGTCAGACTTACCTAGCACATCTGTAACAGATATTTGGGGATGACAAAGTGGTAGCGGCTCAGCTTTCGAAAGATTATGCAAATGGGGAAGTTCCTCCTGTATCATATCAAGTCCAGGACTACCAGGATTACTAATTGGCGAGTTGGTTAAGCTGCGATGATTATGAATGTTCAAAACATGATGCATGTGGTGAGGTACAGGTGATTGGTGTAAGTAACTAGGTTGACTCTGCAAGTAATTCTGAGAAAACTGCTGTTGGTATGACAGCACCTCCATTTTTGTGTCATCCTGCGTCTGGGATTGATTACGGAGCTCCAACTGGAGATTGGTCGAAGGCGTTCCTTGCGTTATTGAACCGGTGCTGGTTGTATTCAAACCGCTTATACCTAAATAAAAACGAATTATACCTACAGCAAATACACTGCAAAACGTAAGTTTACCTTGAGTAATGGAGGAAATACTGTTAGGTTGTGAAAGTGCACCTGATACTGCTTGCGTATAACCAACATAAACTGGCGGAGTCAATACAGGCGAATTGTTGCCCGAATACATTGTTAAATTAGGCATTTGCCCATATAGATTTTGATGTATGGGCGAACCTAAATTGCTTCCGCTATTGCTATACGGTGAAATATTACCGGAATGTAAAGGACTATTACTAAAACTGCGATTCGGATCGTATCCCAAATTTGAATGAACCAAACTGTCATGAGTTAAACCTAGAACTGTGTTAGTATCCGTTGTACAGGCGTATGACTGATGTACAGGGGATGATGATTCTGAGATCTGATGGCGAGAGTCACCGACTATTTGATGTATTGGAGATCCTACATAACACTCAATGTAGTCGCACGCAAATCTAAAGATGTTGAAAGACGTACCAGGAATGGATCTAGGAGGACTACTACGCGGTGCAAGTCCTCTTTGAAGGCGTTGACATTCTTGCTGAGGTGTTGTTGGACTGAGCGTCCGTTGGCCACTTGCTGATCCCTCACTGCCTCGTCTCACAGGACTGAACCTCTCCAATGATTTTTGCTCACGCCCTAAATGTAATATTGTAATGAATTTTACTGGATACATTTTGTCAGTTAAAATAGCATCTAAGTCAATTGCAATTTGCTCAGTTTTGTTAAACCATTGAATTCATGTTGGGTTAAGTTATTTACATCCGCACAGTATCAAAGTTAGACGGAGGAAAGTAAGTTTGGGTATGCATCCACTCCTAACGATTGACATTTTGCATTAAAACACTCTAATAAAATGAAAAAATCAAAGCTTACAATTTTGAACTTACCTTGTAATTCTTGTACAGTTGGTAAGTGGGGTTTAGCCGACTGTCGAGAATGTTTACGTTGGGGAATTATAGGCGGCATGTAGTTACGTCTCATACGAGCTTCTACTTCCATCACTAGCTCGGGTGATATTACTAACAAAGCATGCAAATTAAACAACTACTACACAAAAAAAATATAGCGCACAATACAAAATGCTTTTATTTAGTTGGCAAAGAATAAGAATCGGAATTAAACATTTTAGCGTAAATAAAAGCAGTTCACATTGTAAAATAATAGTTATTAACAAATACAAATAAAAAAATAGCTGTTGTTTCGGTTGTTGGAAATCAATGATAAGGTAATATAAATGGTAACGAGCGGGAGAACTAACAACTGAAAGAACCAGCAGAGCAACACAATTCATAGTAGCTACCAAAATAAAAAAAACTTTTCAATCTTCTAAGCAAATATCAATTCAATTAGATAAGGTTATAGTAGGGGAGTAAAATAGGGAATTTTCGGATTTACTTGAGAGCGTCAGATTAGAGTAAGGTGGGTTAACTACAATAATATGTTGAAACATATACATTACTAAAGACCTCATCATATATTTCTTTCTACCGTCTAATCTACAAAGTTCAAAAGGTCCCTACGACGCTCGAATAAATTCGCATTTAGCATCGTGGGCTCCCTTACTATTACTAATTATAACACAATGAGGTTATAGATATATAATTTCAACATTTTATTGGATGCCATTCGGTACGGTTTCAATGAAAATGATCGCATAGAAAACAAGTGAAGTGACGCTTGGTCAAAAACCAATACCGACCCGGTCTATGGTAGAAGAACATCAATTGGAACGATAATACAGGGTTGCGCATCAAAAGATTAATAGTGAAATATGTCAATTTAGAAGAGTAACATTTTAAAACGTATTTTTCATATGGGTTGTAAATCTGATAAATTATAAATTACTTGAATTCTATTATTTAGTATTTCAAAAGGTTGAATCTCAAAATTAATGCAGACTTTGAGTGTATATTTTGACATTTTTAAGTGCCCAGAAATCCGATTTCTATCAGTAATTCGGGTTCATCGGGTATTTGTATCTTGTGAGTTCATTTTGATTGATTTTTAATTATAACGCTTTTTATTATTCAAAGTTGATACAGAAGGCTCACCCAACAGTCTGTATGGTTAATCTCCCAAATTTCAATTTGCTAATGACCTCAACTTAATAATATTTAACTAAACGTTTTTTATTGCGATAAACTGAGACCACATTCTATATCGCAACAGAATACATTAGCAAAACATGCAAAACGGAAATGAGGAATGCAATAATCATACTTTATAACAAAAATATGGTAGTGCTATATATGTTAACATCAAAACATTTACTGTACCTTATCATGTTACAGTAGATCTTCGCCAATGCCCATTAATATTTAAAACATTGAGTATACCATAAATGTATTAATATACAAATGAACAAACGTACCTGGTGGTCTTTCCATGACTGTGAGTAAACCGGTACGCCGTGTACGTGTACCAGTTGTGGCACTAGACTGTAACGAATGCACATCTTCAGGATTGGCCATCGTGTGCCTCTTGGAATTTCCGCGAGTTAACAAATACCTTGTAATGGCATAAGGATCTGTTAGTTCGTCTAAGACAGGTTGTGTTGTATCTAATGTTTGAGTTGTCGTTCCACTACTTATGCTTGGATTACCACTAGAGCTTGTGGACATTGCTGACAGTTGATCATGAGAGCCGGGGGTGTCCCAAACCATATGCAGGTTGGCGCCTCCGTCTACGTCAAAATCAGCATGTTATTAAATTCAATTGTACATGATTCTTAATGCCGACTTTCTGCTGAATTAATTGAAATAATTTTCGCCCCACCAATACATGCAAGGCATCTCCTCGTGTAATTTAATTCAATAGAAAGTCGATAAAGCTTTCAAGCTAACCTGAAGCGCGTCGTCCAAAACCACCAGCTGCATGAAGCACAGTTGGTGGTTTCAATAAATGAGGATCCTTCCCACTATAGTAATGGGGATTTTGTTGCGCCAACAGGGGTAAATGTAGTGGTAAGTTAGTGTTCGGAAGTATTCGCAGGCCATGTCCATTGGGATCTTGTTGTGCTTGCGACATATAGTGCGATTCCAATACCTTCAACATTTAAATTATGTCATAAACAATCATTTCATAATTGAAAAAATGTACTTGTTCGTGTGCAGGATCGCCCGGACCAACAGTGTGCCGACGTACAGTAAGGTACTGATCACCTGACGAACAACTTCCATAACCAGTAGACGAAGTGGTCGATGGTATTGTCAAAGCACTGGAGTCTTCAACAGCTTCCATTTCCATCTCACCAAACTAAGCAAGTAGTTCAGGCATGTTAGTTACATATTTAAAGGTGATATACAGGGTCATTCTTGACGAGCGTCAGTTAGAAAGATATTATGGAGAAGTTTTGAAAATAAAACTAAACTGATAAGGCCTATTAAGGGTTTTGGCACATGATGAATTGAACTAAAATATTTTCAAGATGGTGCCACTTCCGCAAAATTGCAGAAATAACGGTATGTTTCAAGCAAAAATACAAAAAACCAAGCCTGTGGTAGACTCTGAAGAACAAGCTGCAAATCCAACTGCATCGCTTAATGATATCCAAAGAGAAATTGACATATCAGACACGAGTGCACAAGGAATACTCAAAAAGCATAAATGGCACCGGTATTTGTTTGAAAAAGTGCATTGCATGTTTAGCATCAAATGTGCAAATTAATCTTAAGTTACCTTCTCAAATGGCTGTCCATCAACATCACCAGCTAAATAAACAGCCGGTATGGTAGATATGGATACAAAGGGGGAACCAATATCTTCAGACGCACCTTCCAAAAGTAACTTTCGTTTTTCATTCATGTCGTCTCGCACTTCTCGCAAACAGTTTTCATTAAAGCTCTCGCGTCTGACCGATTGGGGCTCTTCTAATTTCTCAGTTCGCATCTGCACTAAGCAAATGAGATAAATGCTAAAAGTGGGGTGGTACAACAAACCTCACTAGACAAACTGTGACCCTGACTGACTAATTGCTCATTAAATGAGTCACTGCGCTCGTTAAATTTTTGCGATCCCGAACGGGAATACAGGTCATGTTTTGTGCCGTCGCCATCCGATGATTGACATAATTTGGATTGAAAGTTGATGGTTCGTTGATGCAATTTATCGACGAGTAAGTTATATATTGCGTAAATGTGATCGAATGAATTTGATTTGAGAGACTAAAACAAAGTCGTTGATGGATTTAGGGATTTCAACAATTTCCAACCTGTAGGATCATGTTTTGATTAAGTTGCGGTAACTGTAGCATGTGTTCAATGACTGTCTTGTTTAAGTGCATCTCTCGGTCAGGTCCTGTATCTACCGGCGGTAGATTCGCTAACCATCGATGTTTTGCGATCTGTGCCATTGTCAGTCTTTTATCAGGGTCGACTACCAGCATGTGACGGATTAAATGTTCACAATCTGCAAAAATGTTTCATAAAAATATGATTTTCGCAATGTCAATTACCTTGTGACATAAAGTACGGTATCCGAAATTTCCCAGAGATAACTACATTTTGCAAGGATTGAAGTGTGGGACCATCGAACGGAAGGGATCCACAAACAAGAACGTAAAGCACCACCCCTAAACTCTGCAAAGAATACGATACTGGTTATTGATAATTGCATTTGTTTTTGTAATTACCCATATATCTGCTTTGGGTCCATCGTACTTAAATCCTTGAAAGAGTTCGGGGGCAGCGTATGGGGGTGAACCACACCATGTGGACAACTGGCAACCATCCGTAAACTGATTGCTGAAGCCAAAATCGGCCAACTACAAAAAGGTTGTTAACCACAAACAAACCTTAGTCATGACGACCCATACCTTAATATTCATATTATGATCAAGTAAAAGATTTTCAGCCTTCAAATCTCTGTGAACGACGCCTTGCGAATGGCAATAATTAACTGCTGAAACGATCTGGTTAAAAATCCTTTTTGCTTCAGATTCTGTCATTCGGCCTTTTGCAACTAAGTGATCTAAAATGTGTTAGAATATTAATTAGAGCTTTACGCATGTAGAAGTAATACCGAATATTTCTCCTTTACTGGCAAACTCAGTTACAAGATATATTGCTTGCTTCGTCTCCATTAGCTCGTACAGTCTTGTGATATGCGGATGGCGCAATTTTTTCATTATGGCTGTTTCTCGAAATATTTTTGTCAAATTTTCTTCGTCTAATGCAGTCTTATTTATTATTTTTATGGCCACCTGAAACAAATTTCCAATTTATTTGACCAGAATTAATATTACGGATGTATTAATTAAAAAATACGATACAATTGAATATCGAACGATCCCGGGATTTTCACGCATCCATCATTTTTACAACACAACTTAAGGGTTTGATTCTGTCCCAGCAGATCAGCATAGCTTTAATCTCGGCTTTAATAAAACAAATTTTTTGATTCTGCATTAGTTTTACTCGAGGTTTTACTTTTGTTCGAGGTGTCTACATTACATACAAAAATTTCAAGTAAGTATCCTCGTAAGTATCTTAACAAAAAACTTGGAATGCGCAAATCGAGGCGCAAATAGAGAAGTTGTTTGAGGTTTAAGGAATATTTACTAAAACAGAAAACTGCACATTCTTATCTTCTTTGTAACAAGAATTATTTTGGAACCTTAGTCTACATAGCTGAAAAACAATAGCGATCTCTCATATATCCTTAAGAACATGTATAGTAATTTTCGAATAGAGTTATCGTGCACACAGACAGCAATACAAAATTATACTCGATATCTCGATAATAAACAATTTGTACTTGCAAATTTACAAAAAAAGGAGCTCAATAGCATTGGAAAATCCAAGATGGATGCAAAACCGAAAAATGATACCTATGCATGTTTGGGCGGCGCAAGTTCTCTCTTTCTCAAATTAATAAAACAAGATCAAATGGTAATCGTTGTCTTGTGGTCAACATTTTCACATTTGAAGTTGTTGCCATCCTGTACTCATTTCATTGTTTATTGTACTACAGGCCACAGTCAAAATGAGAAAGTTAATTTTCAGAATGGCACAATAGTTTTTGTTCAAAGTAATAAGCCCTAAACCCTAAACTGATCCAATTCACTTCGTTTCTCGTTTCAATTACTGCTAGGCATTTTTGGTCCACAAGCAGCACAACAATCTCGGCAAAGGTTTTCAAGTTTGTCCCTGCCAAGCAACAATTACCGTTTAATGGCAGTAGGAGAGCTAGTTATCGCATTAGGATTCGTCGGCCACGTGAGTTGTGAGCAAAAACGATCGAGTCCATTGCTTAGTTCAAAATCACAGACTTTCAACATTTTTTAATGCGTTAAAACCGTGGTTAAAACTATGACTGTGTATCAGAAGAGCGGAATTATAGCACCTAATAAAACTGTTGTACATTAAAACATAAATCCCCATAGGTTTGATTACGATAGTACCTAATTGTTTTATTTTTTGGTAATTAATCACAAAGTTCGATGGCAAGCCAGAATGTCATGGAGAATTTTGGGGCGGTAGGTACTCAATTATTGTAAGTTTGAAAGCCGACATGAAATAAAATATTTATTAAAACAGGGCTTCACGAGTAAGATCATGGAGATTGCAATTGTTTGATTAACTTTAATTTAAGGAATTGACCCGACGAGCCTTCGCCAGCAGTGGATACGCATTATTACGACTATTCTGTTGGTGTCACGTTGTCTTTGACGTGCACGTGTATGTATGCATCGGTTTACTTGGAGCGAGTTTTAGTGTGAAAGAGTCGCACGTGACCTTGTTCTCGCGTAATTAATTGGAAATATAGTTTTGAGAATTTTGAATTTGTCAAATTTAACATTTAAAAAGCGTATTCTTTTATGAATGTAACTCAAAAGAGAAAAACATTTCGGATTTATGGCAACCCGAAATAGAATGTCAGGTATACATTTAGTAGGAGTAAATCTCTTAGACTTCAATTCCAACATAGAAAAAAATTTGCATATCTAAAAAAAATGCCTCCACAGAAACTTTCGATCGTCATTCTTCGTCAATATTTTGAACCGCAAATTTCACTTTAAAGTTAATTTAAATGTATGAATGCAGTCATTGAAATGGAATTTACCTAAACTAAGTAGGTACTGTCCTTTTCCTCATATTTTTTCCTCCGCCATGGGTACGATTTTATCGGGAGCAACCACATTCCCTTTGTCGGTACCCACTTCCGACGTCCCTTTTGCCCGCAATTCGCCTTTTGGTGAGTATCGCTAAAAACCGTCCACAAAATCGTACTCAATCTTTGGGGCACTTCTCATAACTCGATCATCTATTGGCGACACACGAGAAACGACAAAACTCGCAGAGGAAGATACCTTTTGGGTGTCCGAAGTTGACTACACCTCGACCAAGCGCCTTGCAAGGAATGGCTAAATTCGCCCCTAGGGAAAAAAACAAAATTCCCTCACGCAGGAGTTGTGCAAGATCTTTCGGACGACTCCAATCAACACTGTAGAACAAAATAGGAAGAAACAGAAAATCAACAAGCTCGGGGATGGCGCCCAGATGTCGCCGACCGCACATCATGTATGCATCGTGCATTGTTGAGATGCCACTAAAAAAAAACGTTTTGTTGCGAAAGATGTAAGACCGTGCCTTTTTTTCGCAATTTCAACAGTTCCTAAAAGACAGAATTTCACAAATTATATGTTTTGCATCGCCGTCAGCAATATCGGTACATTCGTACGCCCGTGATTTGTTACGTTATTACTTCAACTACGAACGGAAACCGTCTTTAATATACACCACGGAAGTCCCAATTAATTTTATTGATTATTATTAATTGATAAAATTCGGTTAGCAGCGCGTATGTACCCTGCATTTCGCAACGCTTAGGACGGTTTATTTAGTAGGTAATGGAACGCGATCAATAGTTTATTTAATATCCCGATAAACTGCACAAACCCGTTGTTGAGATAAAGCGTCCCCTTGAAGCTTCTCCACCTAAACAGAGCTAGGGACCTTCGAGTAACAGCAGCAATGCATTTAGAATCTCGACCCAAACGAATACAACTCCAAGCAAAAGTAGCTTCAAGGAGATCAAGAGATAAGAAACAAGTGAGGAGTGAACCAGCCCTCTGCAATACCTATACAAATACGCCCCATTTGCCGCAGTCAGTACTTACTTGGTCACTACAACTCATAAGATACTCTCGCAGGTCTTGTACTTACTTGTAGCCGTTTCATTTTTATCAGACTCTTCAAATTTGGATTCTTTCTATTTTTAATTAAGTTGCTTTTCATGTCTCCCCCAACGCCAAAACAAATCACTCTTACATATCCAAAACAATTAGTCCTCCTCACCTCCTATACGCTAATTTGTTGCCCTTCTCAAAAATTTGCTGTTTATTTATTCTTTTTGGTTTACCTATTAGAACAACGTAAATTAAAACTAATGTGAAAAGGGGTTAACCTAATCTTAAGCTGGTCCAACCATAAAAAACAACTATTGGGAACAAGAAAAGCCCAAATGTCGCGTCCAAATTTGTTGCTGCAAATGAACAGTACATATTTCAGAAGGCACGTACATACATTCAATGTCGTGATTTGAGTTTGCTTGCTGTGGGGTCCATTTATATTGCCAATGATTAGTAAGCGACGCGTTAGTATTTTCTCTTTGTATTTATTTTAATACAAAATTATGTTGTTAAAGAAATTATAACAGTTTTTAATAATCGACAGCACGTATAAATGAAAGCGACAGTGGGAGTTTTGATGTCTTAGGAGCTAGATATGAGCAAAGAATTTGTTACTCAAATTAATTATTATTACATAAAATTTTTCTTTACACATACGACTATTTCTTCATGTACAAATTGTTGTAATTAAAGTACGAACAACGTTTTTAATTTCATGCGGTAATTTTTGAGCAACAAATGGTTTATGGATTCTGATTTATTAGTAAGTTATTACCTATGCTGAGCCATTATAGCGGTTTCGATGTGTTTTTGTGTCTGTCCGTCCTTCCTCGAGAATGAATTTCGAATTCTGTTTCGGCAACGCATAGCTAAGGACTATATGAGCTCGGAGGAACGAGTATGGTAGATAATTAACTCAAATTAATTTCAACATTTGAAGGATTTTCTCAGTTGTCGAGATTTACTTACTGAGTGCGGATACACCGCCAACTTTTAAAGATGGTCCACCCTGTCTATGTAATCTCAATAGGTATGTTAGTACCTATGTACAAAAACACGGCCACAACATCCAAGGTCAAGGTTTTTCGCTAATTTCCCCCAAAAATTGAATCGGTTACAGTTAAGTAAATGTATAAATGAGCCCTCGCACGACTTTAATTCACATACAGACGAGAATACGGGCAAGTAAACAAATGTCTAAGTACGCTAGGAAAGACCGGGAGTCATTTACATTTTTAATTAATCCCCCGTACACACAAGTACAAGTAAATTTCCGCATTGTAATTATTAGTACCATTATTTTACTAGCTTAAAAATTAAATACTCGAGCTAGTGATGATAAAATCTTATCACGCGCCTGTGACAACATTATAAAAAAAATTTTGTTTTGTTGTTTACTTTTTGTCATTCGCCAATTATCGATTTTTCGAAAAGTTTTGCTAAAACACTCAACTTGAACGTTACAATCCAGTTGGCCTTGTAAAAACCATGCCAAAATCAAAGGAAAAAAGGTCAGGTATTTGTTGTACATAAACAGAGAGTCGGAACAATGTCCTTAAAACGACAATCATTTGACATGTAACCTAACCTATCCGACTTACGGCGATAAAACATATACACATACACTGTATACACGGAGGGAAATTCTACCCAATTACAGTCTAAAGACCCACGAAATTTCGTAAGAGATCAGATTTTCATGAATTAAAACTGCATAAGGCCGTCACATAAGTGACGTTTTTATTTACACAACAAAAAACGTACCTTCGTTCTTGTAACAACATGTGTCGCTAACTTAACAACCGCGAAATTTCCTTTGCCAATTGTTTTCTCCAACTTATAATAACCAACACGTTCTAATCTATCAACGGAATACGATTTTCCCGACATTTTCACAAAATTTTTAAACTTAGGTCGTCACCACTAAGTTTTCTACAGCCCACTGAAGTAGTACGTACATTTTCGTCTAGATTTCGCTGACGTTGACGTCACCATCGACGTCACTTGTACAATGTCTTACACAAAATAATTACGAAAATTCAGTGCATTGTTTAAAGGCTTCCACATAAAGTTCATTCAAATTACGTGTTGTATCAAAAATGTTCCACCTACCCACAACCATATGCTATCAATCAATTTACGTGGCATTGGACTGACGTTCGTCGCGCCTGAGTATTAGGCAACCAACTTTCACGATGTGACTTGTAATGTTATAATACTTTCAATTTATCCAACTTGAAATTGTTAAATTATTTTGTAGATTAAGGCCTTAATTCAGAAGATCTACACTGCAATTTAATCTTCGATAATGGACAAACTCTTACGACCAGAAAGATTTAAACCCGATCCTAGAGTACTCAAAATGCCACCAAAGAATGGAGCCATTGAAAAGTTCACTTTCGAGAACTTTACTTTATCGCTTCTGTAGAGAAAACCGAAGACATTTTCTCTCCTCGTAAGCAGTAACAAGGTGAATCCGTAAGTCCTTAGTCCAGTCAGTTCCTTTCAAAAGCTGAGCAAGGGATGTATGTAACTTTAAAGGTCAACGCTTTCGCTCAAAACGTTCAGAGTACCTAGTGCCATCCGCAAAAAATATTGATAGGGCTTTGTTAGCATGGTAGGGCATGTCTTGAAGAGAAAAGGCACTAGAATGGAACCTTGTGGGGGGACTCCTTATTTCAAATTGGCCGTGCTAGTTATTTGGCCATCTTAAAATTCCGAAATTAGTCGAAAAATCGTAGGCAAATTCGAAAAAGTGTAGAGTGGTGTCCTCTATTACAATTAAAAGCAATCTTGGCTGACAACCGATTGGTTGGGAATGGGGGGGTGTGGTAGCACTTGCAGATGTGTTCCACACTGACTCCCTGTACTGCGCAAACGCAAGCGCGCTAAAATTTGAATTTGTGTAAAGCTGTCAAGTGTAACGGGTAAATAATATACCTTCACATAACCTGCAAACGTAATAATTGAAGATAATTTTAGCTTACCTGCTTACCTATTATATGTAGTAGGTATATGAAAATGCCATGTTATAAAGATGAATTTTGTTGTTATCTACATTTGGAGTGCATGGTCATAGAATATGCCAAAGGCGATACAATATTAGGAAACTGCTTCGGTAAGTACTGTAATAGTTAATTAGAAAGAGTTAATGACATTTACTTACAGCAATAACGTTACAGACCAACATTGACCTATGGTAAAGAGAGAGTCCGGTGCTGAACGAATCACAAAAAACCAGACTACAAGGATCATGACTGATAGCTAAAGTGGAGGTTTGCTTTCAAGTTGGCGCTATAATGTATTTAACTGGAATTCACAGTAGTGACCGAACGCTTTAATTCGAGAAGAAGAACATATTCTTTCCGAAAATACAGCGACATTTGGTTTGTAATATGGAAGTCAGCAGGTATTATAAACAAAACAAACGGTGGCACGTTAAAGCAAATTCAAATTTTAGCGCGCTTGCGTTTGTGCAGTACAGGGAGTCAGTGTGGAACACATCTGCAAGTGTGTGGTAGCAATGGATGTTGAAAGTCAACGTGTACTACGAATTATTGAGGTTTAGGATTTAAAAAACAGTTTCTGTTGGCAATTAGTTATGAATAACAATTTCTGAGAACAATACAATTGCAAAAAACAATGAAGTGATTGAAATATTAGGTGAAGTCTCGAATTGTTAACCATTTGAGGTTAATAACTGATTTTCAAATTGGAACAGCCGAATCTTTTATAATGAGAGACATACCTGTAGGTGTACAATTTTTACAAACTGTTACCGATAAATCTTGCCCTAACTTCTCATGTAACCGACAATTGTGGTACGTACAAAGAATCAATTGCAACATCTCCACAATGCACTTGTCTTGAGCAGGTACCGTACCAGCGTACTGGTGTTGACTTACATTGCCTACACATGTTATCATTTATCACGTAAACCTTTATCAGTTGCAAAGGCCGTTCTTCACCCAAACTGTACAAATACGTCTAGGCATGATTGCAGCAGTTGGATCCCGTTTAGTACGTACCTACCTCTGTCTAGTCATTGTCACTACTTAATTATTACAGATGGAACCGATGCCGATGCGGCTGAAGTTTTTGGAGAGCTCGATTCTGCATTTCTATTTTCATATGCGATTGCGATGTTTGCGTCAGGATTCATTGCCGAACGTTTCAACTTACGTTATTTTTTATCACTTGGAATGCTACTGTCTGGAATTTTTTCTTATTTATTTGGACTCGCAAAAGTTTACAACATACATAATGTTATGTATTTTTTATTAGTGCAAGTGAGTTTGCTGTACCTACATAATACTTTGAACTAATAATTACTTGCCATGTTTTAGGTAGCCGCTGGCATTTGTCAGACTACCGGTTGGCCCGGTGTTATAGCAGTATTAGGGAATTGGTGTGGGAAAAGTAAGCGTGGCCTCACATTTGGCATATGGAATTCTCATACAAGTGTAGGAAATATCTTAGGTGATGTCATAGTATGGTCCCCATATAAATGTTTCAAGTTTTAATTTTCAGGTTCATTAATTGCCGCTAGTTTTGTTGAAACTGATTGGTCGTTATCGTTCATTTACCCCGGCTTAATTATCGCATTGGGAGGATTTTTAATGTTTCTATTTCTAGTTGTAAGCCCTACGGATGTTGGATGTTACTTACCGGATGAGGATAGAAACAATGCCACCTCAACCCATCAACGGGTTAGTTTCTTTAATTATGTTACATCGTCTATTGCTTCTTAAACACGAATTTTTAGAAATTTAATAGAAGTCTTCAGAACCAAGTTGCTAATAGGGATTCATCATCTGAGTCTGATTCTGAAGTAGACGATACAGATATCATCATTGGAGAGCAAGTAAGTTTTACTATGGAACAATTGTTCACCTTGAAACATGATAATCAAACTCTTTTAGGATTTTCTAATCTCGGCTTACACATCATCTTGCGACTTTGTAAGTTCATGGTTGCAATTTTGTTTAACATTACCCTTAAACACAGGTACTCCGGTAAAATTCTAAAATGATTTACATTGGGTAATTAATGCTCATAAAAATAACAAATTAACTCTTGCACAAGATATAAAAGATACATAGAATGGATAAAATAAACAAAAAATAGGAAAGACAATCTTGGGGCATATAACAAAAATAGTATATTATATACCGCGGGACTGAAGTAGTACTTTTAATCCCGAAGGTAAAGTTTATGGCCCGACCGAAGGGAGGGCCATAATTTACCTGAGGGATTAAGACCACTACTTCAGTCGCAAGGTATATACGATATTTTTCGTACCTCCGAAACTGAAACACTTAATATGTATGGAGTTAGAGAACGCGTTCTTTCAAAAAATCGCTGCTTAACAAGTTACCATAGGAACGTTGCGTTGGTATGACAATCCCTATGCCATGGTAACAAAAATAATTTGGAAACTGTCATTGCTAGTGTCATAATTTTGGTGGTGGGTTACAGAGGTGCATTTGATATTGATAAAAAGCGGCTAAAGTAGGTAAAGAATTGATACCACCGAAATCCAAGAAACTGTATGAGCAGCAGTACGATGCGTTTAAGAAGTAGTGCCGCATACAAAATGTGGAACAACCTACTGAAATTGCCTTGTTAGTAATTACATCTTTCCGGGATTTTCGTCTAAATTTAATCCCGGCAGGACAAAAAGTGACACTTCAGTACTTGTCATAATGGAGTGAAGTTGTTACTTTAGTCCCGGAAGTACGAAAAAACATAAATGTAAATAAAACAATTGTTCATTAAACATTCATAGACAGCTACACAAATCACATTAGGATTTTGCCACTGACGTTGATTATCACACTGTTTTTTATATAAAAGGAGCTCGAATTGAACTTCGAAATTTTTGATTGAACATATTTTGAGGTATTCATTTAATATAATTTAGCTACACATTTGAAAAGAAAAGGACCTTTCAAAAATAGTGGTCTTATGAGTGAGGAGGAGTGATTCTACGTTTATACCGCAGGTTTAAATTATGTAGAACATTTTATCTGAAGGGTAAGGGGATGAATCCCACTGTTTTACCAATCTGTAAATTCTGTGCTGGTAAAATTCTTGCGGCTCTTTGCGGAACCATTCCCCAACCGCAAAGTCTACCTCAGTGTCCGATTTGAACCGCCGCCGTCCTTTTAGTGATTGCCTTAATGGGCCAAAAACATAATAATTGCAAGGGGACAGGTCGGGACTGTAAGGCGGTTGTTGTAACACTTCCCACTTCATACGACTGAGTAGTTCTTGAATCGCCTGGGTTACATCGGGTCGGGCATTATCATGCAGAAGAGTGACACCGTTTGTGAGCTTCCCGGGACGTTTACTCTTGATGCTGATCCGTAAGCACTTTAAAATCACTATACTTACCATATACAGCTTTCATTCTCGTATAAAATTCCATTGGCTGACGTCCGTCAGAGGCGAAAAACTGAATAACGGCACGCAAGTTATCTTTGGATGGATTTTCTATCATGGATGCCATTTTCAAATGCAGTCCCAGTTTAGAATGACAGACGCTTTACTTAAGCAAACAAACTAAACAAATGAATTTGGTTACAATGACGACCAGGTCATGGCTACATAGATTAAACATGTTTCTATTGAACAATCCTCGTATAAGCACATAGTCTCGTGTCACGGTGTTTGTGGTCGCACTCCTCTCAAATGGCTTGACTGAATTTTAATGAAATTTTTTTGTATGTTTGGCGGGTATGAGAATAGGTTGTAAAGTATATTCCATACTGCTAATAATACCGAACTTATGTCCCATCTGGGAGCGAACATACTGCATATATCACAAGATTTTGACCTTATATTGTTATAGTCATCACATTTCCTCAAAAACCAGTAAGGAAGTAAATGTAATGTCCGAGTTTAACTGCCAAAAATCAAATAAAATTCAAGTTTTGTAATTGATTTAAGTTTTATTCCCTAACCGTTAGAGAAAAAACAAAAGTTATCAGAACTGAAAAGATGTATCCCGTTTTAGGAAATTATTTCTAGGTAATTGTAATATCCTAATATGACTGGACTATCAATAGAGGCCTGATTAAATTAGACAAAGGCTATCGTTTGTCAACTCTTAGGTGCCAATAATTGTGGAGAAATAAAGCCATTTAAAAGCAATAGTCATTGGCATCTAAGCGTGATTGGGCGTTGAAAATTGTCACCATTCACTTGCTTTTTTTCTTATTCAAGATTGGCTAGTGGTTTTAGTACCGATTCACTAACAATGATTTTTATAGGAAGTTCAACGCCGAAATACAGAACGAGTGCACCTCCTGAGAGATTATGTTGCACCTCAACATGAAGTAGCAATAGGCTTCTTTGGGGCGTGTAAAATTCCGGGCGTGATCGAGTTTTCATTGTCTCTTTTCTTCTCAAAGCTGGTCAGCTACACCTTCCTCTACTGGTTACCGCTCTATCTTAATCACTCCAGTAGGTTTCATCCTGTCGTTTTAACATTTTGAGATGTCTGTTTTAGCATCAATGGGTGCAACTGATAGTGCCGATTTTTCCATATTATTTGATGTTGGTGGCATTATCGGCTCTATCTTGGCAGGATCAATTAGCGATTACACCAACATGTCGGCTACAACCTGTACTGGTATGCTGATTTTGGCTATACCAATGGTAATAGTGATTAATAAAATGTCCTCGACAGTAGCCCAAGTTTTTATAGATGGGGATGTATCAAATTTTGGGATCGACAAGTTTGGGCGTGAACATTTTTCTTTTACTAATTGTGGGCCTCTTAGTGAATGGTCCATATACTCTTATTACGACAGCAGTATCGGCTGATTTAGGTACCCATTCTAGCTTGGAAGGTAACGCAAAAGCGTTAGCAACTGTTGCTGCAATCATTGATGGAACAGGATCTATAGGTACATTCGAGTTTATTGATAAAATCTAAGAACAACCTTTGCAGGAGCTGCGGTGGGGCCCCTACTTGCCGGATTTTTAAATGTGTATGGTTGGGAAGCTGTGTTCTACATGCTGATGGTTTCTGACGTACTAGCACTTTTATTTTTAATACGTCTGGTTAAGCACGAAGTTATAAAATGCCGGCAGACACGAAGATTGGCTAGAATTGAATAATGTGATATTTCTATTTATTAGCAATCCATTTTAAAAGGACTCAAATATATTTTAAATGTGTGGCATTTATATATATATATATTGTATATACTGTATAATAAATTATTTTAATATTACTAGGGTACTCCCAGTGGAATAATAAATGATATATTGTCGGCAAATTCTCCCCAACTTGCTCGATTTACTTGGAAGGCGATCACCCACGACAGTATGATAATGGCCCAAATAACACTGCCAATAGTGGAAAATATAACGTCTAAAACGTGACGGTTTTAGTAATTTTAAACATAATAGTAACTTACATCGCTTTATTTGCTGCTGTTCTTCATATTTCGGTTTCCGAAAAGCCTCTGTAAAGAACCAAATGGCATTGACCATCCATAGAAATGGTAAGAATGCAAAACCAACTGCAAAATTAAGATTCAGCTTCCCAAGTTACAAATGATGATTAATTACCTTTAAAATACCATTTACACAAATACAACTTTTTGTCGTTGGACATTTTAGCTAAATCCATTTTTTGAGACTGCAAACAAACCCTAAATTATTTCAAGTAGGTAGGTTATGTGTCAAAAGTTCTGTTCAAGTGGTATGTATATGTTGCACGAGATGGCGTTATTATATATATATATATATATATAATTTTTAATTCGCCCTCCCAGGTGTGGAGTGGAGGTATCTAATATCCCTCAGCAAAGGAGGACTCGATAATTTTCCTGTATTACCATTACCCCTAGCACTTTTGTGCGGTTTTCTTTTCGCCGACCGAGTGGATTTTAGATGCCAACCTTTTTACTATGAAATTTGAATACCGTTAGCCAAAGAAGTATGATCTTTGCGTTAGCGCAGAACGCCCCACAGGCGTCTCAGCCGTTTGTACCTCGGAGCAAGAAGGGTTGTACCTACAGCGGAAAAAAAAACGATCTATGACGTTGAAGAGGTTCAGATTTTGAAATAAAATGCTACAAGCAACCTGAAATTATACCGGTTTAATTATGTGTTCGTCATTTTGTTTTTACAATAAATAATATGTAACTTAACCTTGAACGGTAAACAACTTTCATTTGTTTACTCGAAACATTATCGTGCTGGAAGGCAAAAATTGTTTGCTCTAAGATTATTGATTTTTAACATTACGTGCGAGAAGTGCAAAGCGGTTTGACAGTGAGAAGTAGGTATCGATTAAATTATGTGCTAACGAAAATGTGGATTGTTTTTGGTAAATTGTGCAATTGCGAAAACCGAGGAGGAAAATGGTGATACAGGGAAAAGCCCCATCGATTTTCTTCTGTTTCTCGGTTCCCAGATAGCATTTAGAGTTGATTGAAACGTTAACTTGCTTTTACGTGTGTTCTACTCATTATTACAAAAATGAAACTCCTCACCGTTCATTATATGGGATTTACCGCTATGGACAGAAGGTTTTCGAATCCGATGTTGCCGTGGATAGTTTCCGAAATTCGCAAAAGAGATTGCTACGAAAGAGTAAGTATACGGTCCACTTGTACAATATTATACAACCCGTTTAAAGTTAGCCATAAGCATAACCCCTCGCCTAACGCAATAGATTTTTCCTCGGATTTTGCATATTTCTTGTAAAGTAGGTACTTACTTAAATATCTATTATAAATATGCAAAAATTTACCTACATGTTACTGGACAAATTCTATTTAAAGTTGTTGGGACACTAATTATATCAAATATTACAGTTGATAAATAATAATCAGTCTAAATCGAGGTCTAAACACATCATCCCTTAAAAATAACGTCAATGAATCCATATAAGCGTTTTAATTTCATAAAATGTCTTTAATTTCCGTGATTTTAAATTCATGCAACAACAAAAATAGAAAGAAACTTAAGTAGACGAAGAAATCTACAAAGGAAAAAGTTGTAGATAATTGTTGTTATAATTTAAAAATTAGTAGATATGTATCTATACAGGGTCATTCTTGACGAGCGTCAGTTAGAAAGATATGGAAAATCTTTGAAAATTAAGCTGAACTGATAAGTCTTTTAAGGGTTTTGGCACATGATGAATTGAACTAAAATATTTTCAAAATGGCGCCACTTCCGGAAATACCGGAAGTAGCCATCAACTTTGTTATTTTAAATAGGGACCCCCTATTTTTTCTACATTTTCGGATTCTACGTCGAATTTGGAGTACAACGATACCCCATAGTTGACTCTGCTCCAAGGGCTTCGCCGATATTCAAGTTTTTGTGTCAAAAATTGAATTTGCGGGGGTAACTAAAATACGAAAACGGTGAGAGATATTGCAAAACAGTTTTCAATGCTTTATTAAGGAAAGATCAAATTTTCTTATAGTATGCGTAACCGTCTAAAAAAGTGAGACTACGTCACTTTTTCAAAGCTCTCAAATTTTAAACTTTTAAATATTCCATTTTTTCAAATGACACCCCCCATTTTGTTCTTTACCCTTGTTTTCCTTTTTCCCAGACCTTTAATTTGATGCAAAATCACAAAATGTCAAAAGCTGCTTCAAACGGTTTCCGAGATATTCCATGTTTTAGTTACTTCTTGTGGAAAGTTGATAAAACAAGTTGTAAATCAGCATGTGCATGATTAAAGCGCATTTTTGGTAATGCAGGTCAGTATTTTATTAGCGAAGTTTAAAATTATCGATCTCACGAGTAATTTTGGCTGCGTTAAATAATTAATTATATTTAATTTCAATTGACGGTACGTCTTCATTTTGTAAAACAAATCACAAAGTAAATAATAAGTTTTTATACTGGTAGCGCTATCTAACGGTAAAATTATAGCACCTCCAAAACCCATATCGAAATTATTTTCTTCAATTATCGATCTCACAAGTAATGTAACTCAAAATAGACTAGTGCCTGCACATCTACACTATAGCAGGAAGCTTTTAGTGAAAATTTGAAGTCTCTAGCTATTGTAGTTGTGGAGATCTAACGCGGACAGCCGGCCTGCCAGCAATAACGAATATACTTAATAGCGTATTTTTTTCAAAAATGCGCTAAAAATTAAATTGCTTGATGTTATTCTTTTGTTTTTATTATGATAATGTTTAAATGTCAAATTTTCGTTGCTTGAACTTATACTTCTCGTCAGTAATGCCTCGTTTCGGTTACACTAATGAAGATTTTTCGAATTTAATATTAATACACGGTGAATGTAATCGAATAGCTGCCAGGAAAAGCAGCGAAAATTTGACGTTTAAACATTATCATAATAAAAACAAAAGAATAACATCAAGCAATTTAATTTTTTTATCAACTTTCCACAAGAAGTAACTAAAACATGGAATATCTCGGAAACCGTTTGAAGCAGCTTTTGACATTTTGCATCAAATTAAAGGTCTGGGAAAAAGGAAAACAAGGGTAAAGAACAAAATGGGGGGTGCCATTTAAAAAAATGGAGTTACGGATATTTAAAAGTTTAAAAGTTGAGAGCTTTGAAAAAGTAACGCAGTCTCACTTTTTTAGACGGTTACGCATACCATAAGAAAATTTGATCTTTCCTTAATAAAGAATTGAAAACTGTTTTGCAATATCTCTCACCGTTTTCGAATAATAAATTTTTAAAGTTACCCCCGCAAATTCAATTTTTGACACAAAAACTTGAATATCGGCGAAGCCCTTGGAGCAAAGAGTCAACTATGGGGTATCGTTGTACTCCAAATTCGACGTAGAATCCGAAAATGTAGAAAAAATAGGGGGTCCCTATTTAAAATAACAAAGTTGATGGCTACTTCCGGTGTTTCCGGAAGTGGCGCCATTTTGAAAATATTTTAGTTCAATTCATCATGTGCCAAAACCCTTAAAGAACTTAACAGTTTATCTTCATTTTCAAAGGTTTTCCATATCTTTCTAACTGACGCTCGTCAAGAATGACCCTGTATAATTATCAAATTAAAAATTCAGTTCAATTCGTTATCGTACAATTAATAATATAAATGTTAGAGAAGTGCTAGGTAACCAATTGTCCTATCTAATTAGGAAACGCAGTTGACCACATTTGGTTGTCTTATCCATTGTTATCAGTGGATGAGGGAGACGCTGGGGGAAGATTGTTAAAAAGTGCGCAATTGTTGAAATTATAGGTATCAAATATTTTATTATATAGGTAACATTGTCTGGCAAAAACTTAATTTTTCCATAGGGGTTTGATAAGGGTTTGATAAAGTTGAAATAGGTACGTATGTTACATTTTCAAAATGTTGCGATACACTCTGGAATGGACCATCTATCTATAAAAAAATTTCCAAAATCAGACAAAACTAGTTACAGTTTTGCTTACTGAGCATGAAACAGTGGACTTCTCTCGAAAGAAATTAACCAATTCCTAATATACGATGGATACGCGTACATTGGTAGGAACGATCGGTTATCCTTTACAAATTGAAGGATTTCTTCTGTTAGTGTCCTGCATATGAAACTTAAAAGTTTCCCTTCTTCATTTTCACTTTCGTTGCGCTATAAATATCAATAAGTAGCGGTGGATACCTTCCACATTTAGTTACCTCATTCCGGTCATTATTTTCATATATCTTCAGGAAATTATCTACGGGAAATTCGCCGGAACTGCTCTAAAAATTGCTTATGATTTGACATGCTTAGTAAATGGAAATTTACGGTAAGTTGGGTAAGTATGTGATGTAGACGATGTTCTAAACTTGGATAAAAATCGTGATAGATGGCGCTTGCCCATGGTTCGCGGAAGTACTCGTACAGGTCTTGGACGGTACCCATTCCAAAGCGCATCTTCAAGTTGTTCAATAGCCTTTCATGTTTTCCCCACAATCTGGTTATGTTAGCGATATCGATGTTCTAGAAGTAAATACAAAAAGAGATACACGAGGTGCAATTTGAATCTACCAACAAATTTCGCGAGGCAAGTGATCGTTTCAACTATTCCTTGGTTGTTTAGATGCAGTCGGAAGTAGCCTTGCCTTTCCAAGTCTACACAATTACCACTAACCAAAATTTCGCCCTGCGAACCACAGTAATGACGAGTTAATAACACTACAACTAGTGTAGTGAAGAAATCAAATTATCGGATATTCCAAGGGTTATTCGATAAAATTGAACAAGAAGATACCGAGTAGCTCTGGTCGAATGCTCAAAATAACAATTCTTTGACATCCACGAGGTGGATAAAACGAAGTAGGAAAACAAATGGCAAGTTATTCAGGTTAGATAGTGACCAGTCCAGGGTGACCTGGGAGCTACTTGGTATCCGTACGGTAGCGCAAAAAGTAGATGGACTCGAGTTTAAGTTTTAATCTTTGATGTACATTTGCGAGCGTCCATCAAAGCTTATCATTTTACATTCGAAATAATGTACCAATTTTGTATGTTATGTGGACTATTACTCCAACTCGCTCGTTTATTCATCTCTGTCTAATAGTTACGAGTAAGGAATAAAATTAGTTCATACACTTTTTGTGTTTGTATAGTCACAATATTTTTTAACATACGTAATTGTCTGACGCCATTCCAATTTCCCACGGAATTTGTTTTCCAGGATTTGTTACGGAGAGGTACCGTAATTTTCTGGGCAAACGACAGAAGGTGATGAGTGGTTTTTCGTAGAGGGGTACTGTTGAGCTGTTCTTAGCGCTTAAAAGTATATCTTCGTATTTCTTCTCGTCGCAGTTAGGTATTAACTTTGCCCGAATGCTTTGGCCAAGCTTCGTGCCGATCTCTTCAGAGTTGAAAAATTGGTGTGCCAAATCGTCGGCGTAGTATCGTCTCGAGTATTTTGTTACGGTACCCGCGGCGTATATAAACGGATCGTTCGTTTTACAATCGGGCGCAATTACCAAGGCCCCGTCAAAAACCAAACCAGCACTGCTGATCGCCGAAAATGTCCTACCACTCACGAGTTTATCATTGTACATAAACATAGCTTTGCAGCTCAAATTAACACGACGCTGCTGCGACTCAAACTTTACGGTGGTTACAATGTTCTCGTCTTTGTGAATGATCCAGTCGACAAAATAGTAGGAACTGTAGTATCTCACGCCTTCCTGTACGATTGATGTTCTAACAGTATCGCCTACTACAGGATCGTTAAACTGCTCTAATTGCTCTGCGATTTTGCCCGGTGAGCGAAAAGGAAAAGATTCGACGAATTGTATGTTGTCTGGACTTATACCGTACTTGATAAGAGCCGTTATGCAGCAATAAACTTCCATTGCGTATCCATAAACAATAATTTTATCTAAAACAAAACATCAACAAAACTCGGTAGAAGTTTGTTCTCGAGTAGCCGTAACTTTGTACCATACTCAGCAACAAAGAGTGGTTTTAGGTATTACCAAAGACTATCCTCCTATAATCTTTGGTAGTATTACACTTGATGCTTCTTTTCCTAAACTGTGTGTCGGGCAAGAAACTATACACACTTAAGATTAAAATACACAATTTTGTCCCTTGGTATGTAATATATCACATATATAAGTATTAGGTAGGTACACACAAAGAACGGATTA